AGAAAGAAAGAAAGAAATCCAAATCTCACAGAGAAATATCCTAAAGAATGAAATTGTTCCTACTACCAGAGCAGTAGGTCCTGTTTGACACTCAAGGAATTCACCTTAACTGCTCATGGACCCAGCAGTGATTCTGCTTCTTTGTGAAGCACAGAACCCTGTAAGCCCTGCTGTCTCTCAAAACTAGAGGACTTCTCTGCTACCCTCCCCAGAAAAAAATGGATTCTGCATTTTCTCTTTTTCATCCATCTGCTTACTTCCAAGTCCATATAATTGGTGGAAGCTAGTTCATATGCCTGTGCCTTAGCTCCAAAGGAGGCAAAAGAACAAAGTTTTGTGATTTCCTCCTGTGCCAATGAGCTAGAAATTCCCTAAAGACAGTAAATGTATTTAACAGTTGATAGAAGTCCAAAAAATACTGCAGTGTGAAATGTTCACTCCTCCTCTTTTAAAAAAAAAAAATCTAATACTGTCACAGAGAGACCAAAATTGGTTATGCTCATCTCAGCAGAAGGACACATATCAACATCTTTTTTTTAGCTTCAGGGTAGAGACCAAAATTGGGTTCAATATAAGTAAGCTTCTTCTTAGGACACCCATTACTCTTAAAACACTCTTAAAGACAAGATGGGTGTAAAATGTTATTGTAAATAGGACAGAAACACCTAAGAAATCTGTCAGGATAGGACTTGAGGTAGAGGGAAGCAAGAACAGAGGGCATTGAAGGTTTTTCCTGTGAATTTGATTCTTAGCCCCACTCTTACATGGATACAACTTGCTCCATTATTTCCCAATCACACTGGCACTTCCCTAGTGTCCTATTCATGAACACAGCCACACCTGAAGCACTACACTATAAGAGCAGGATTTGACAGACTGAAAAAGGCTAAGACACAGAAGCAGACTCTTCCACTGGAGTGCAGCTGTTGTATGCATCAGAACCAGGCACAGATGTTGAAACCCAGACGTGAAGGTGGTCTTATGAGTACAGACAGAAGGACAGTGAATGAGTGAGTAAATAAGTATGTGTGTGTGCGGGTGTGTGTGTGTGTGTGTGTGTGTGTGTGTGTGTATGTGTAGTGGAATCAGACATAATGGATCTGGGACTCCATATACAGTCCCTTAATGAGTACAATAACTCTAGAAGGTGGGTAAGTGTGGTTAGAAGCAAATCAAAATCTGTATGTGGTGGGCATCAAAAATGCACCAGTTAAATTGGTTAGTAGGTAACAGAGCCCAGTCAGTCATTGAGATGGGCCCAGGTGATAGGACTCCAAAATATGAGAATGCATTAATAGAAACAGGGCAGAATTTTCAACCTAAAGTGACAAGTCTACCAGAGCATATTATGAGACTAGAATTGGCCATAGGATTACACAAAATATTCACTCTTAGATTAAAGGTATGATAAAGAAAATAAAATAGTTTGTGACCTTATAAATGTGAATTACAAATCTGGAATGGAGTGTTATTAATAATCATGCTAGGACAGCATGTATAAACTAGGAATGTTTTGGGCAAATTGAGACATAGAATGACTCCAATTATACACTACCTAGAGAATTCACAGATAAAGTTCAAGGAAACACAGCTGAGAAAGGTAAAAAGTGGAAAGTTGAACAATGAAAGAAAATCTGATTTAGGAAAGACTTTTTATTTTCTTTCATTTGGTTTTAATATTGGAAGAGATGAAGTAAAAAATCAAATACATCAGAATATGTTTGATTTTTATTTTTTCTTTCTTCATTCACTGCCATGATCATTCTACCAACAAGAATAAACATGAAAAGTCTCATGGAAAGTTACTCTAGATAATAGAAGAACAAGAGTAAATTTTCCTCAGCAGTGGGGTCCCTGGCAGCATGAAGGCTGGTTTCAATGACAAGCTCTTCTAACACTCTACTAGTTTAAGTTCCAGAAAGGACTGTGCTGTGATAATACCCAAAGGATTTCTACAGAGTGTGCCCATGGGAACAAAGCCAGTGGTTCTGGTCTTGGCTCATTAGAAGTTTTAGAGATATAAAAAGTGAAAATCAGATGTTTCCTACTGGTTCAATTATGATGTCACTCAAGAGCTTTCTAATTGTTCATAGATTTACATTCTGGGAGAAAGTTCTCTTTGGGAAATGTTTCCTAATCCCAAAGAAGGAACTGGTAGTTGTCCCCAAATACTGTCATTTTAGTAGTAGGCAGATAGGTTGATACGGGCCTCAATTTTATAAATGTTCTATTGCTGTTCACAGAAAGCTAGCAGAACTCTATGAAAGACCTTTTGAAAAGATGTTTTTAGCAATTTGACACTCTACTCTGTCCGTGTTGTAGTATTATTCCTGAGCTTCCAGATAACTGACTCTGAATACAACCCTGGCACCAGAAAGCCACTTTCACTGAACCATTCAGAAGGACAACCTTAATTGCAGTACATTTGAAAAGAAGAAATGTTGGGTGGGGATTCTATCTTTTACAATGAGGTGTTATGCTTTCTTGGTCATGTTAGCTTGTGAAATCCCGTGCCCCCTTTCCCACACTGCACAAAGCTTCTCTTCAAAGTGACATGAGTGGGGATTTGGAGGATTAGAAATTCAGTTTCCAAGTGTGAGGGTCAGTAAGGCCTTAAGTTAATGAAATCATGTTCTTAAGCAAATAGACTCTGACACTGCGAGGGTGGAACAAAGAATGCCAGAGTGAAGCGAAAAAAAAGTGTTGGGAAGGGTCTTTGACTCAAAAGAAATTTCAACCTTCCCCACAATTCATAAACCTCTTCCTTTCTCCTTTTCTTAATTGCTTAATCACTACCCAACACACTAGTTTGTGTTATTGTTTTCCATGAGGACACAATTCTATTTTGTAAATGCCTACTTTCTCAATACATAGAATTGAATATCTTACCAGATATTCAATGACATTTGTTGAATGAATGAGTGAATAATGAAAGATCCCTCTTCCCATATAAATCATTCAGTCTAATTTTCCTTTAAAGTGCAAAATAATCAATGAAGAAAAAAGTTCTCCAAAATCATCCTCTTTCTCTCCTGTGCCTGGAGGCTTCTGGGCTGGGGAGTTACTTTTTTTTTTGAAAGAAAGATATTTGAATAAAAATGAAGGCCCTGTGAAGTTGAGTGTGTGGCCAAGGGAAAAAGGAGAACAGGTGAGTCAAACCACATCTTGGAATAAAACAAGAAAAATCCAAGCTAACATCTCGGGAAGAGAATCAGATAATATAAAATTTGTTACATTTCTATAGCTTAATCATATCTGAGTTTTGCTCTTCCTGTCTAACTTTACAGCAGTAAATCCTTCAAACAGAGGAACTAAAAAAGTGAAGAAATAGAGAATGTTAGCTACAATGTCCTGAACCAAGGTAAGAATACTAACAAATAGGATAAAGGACTTAAATGGGAAAAGAGAGCAAAAATTGTGCTGGAACACTAGTGCCTCATAAAGACAAAAGTACTAGTTGCTGAAGAATAACAACTTTCCAAAGATAGAGCAGTTTAGTGACTAGGCACAAACTGCACAAAAGAGTGTCCCAACTCTGACCAAAACCTGGCACCACCACCCTCTTCTCCCAGGCCATCATCTCTTAGTTCAAACAGTTGTAAATCCTGTGGTTTTACACTTCAGTGATATTCCCAAATATGGTATTTCCTCTCAATCCCTGTCACCACTAACAATGGTGAGGACAAGGCCTCAACATTTTCATATAGTAATACATCTAATGTTTAAATCTGGATAAACAGATCAATGTCTTGCAATATTTCTAATTTCTTTGTTGGGAAAACATTCAGAAATCTTTTTTTTTCTAGCTTTTTGGAAATGGAATGGAACACTCCAGCCTACTTTGAATGATGCCTATTTAGACCAATCTCTAATGATGTATCCAAAGATTCACAATAAGGACTGACTGTCAGCTCCATAAGTAAAAAAAAAACACAACGCTGTTGTATTTACAGCTGAATCCCAAACAAGTAGCGACAGAGTTTATACTTCATAAATATGTAAATATTGGTATTTCACAAGTTAATAAAAGTAAAACAACCATGCTTTAAACTTATGCATATTTTACTCCTAATGATGTCAAGCATGTATTTATATGTACACTGAAAATATCAGAAAAATACAGCATGAGGTGAGAAATATGCTAATTACCCAGAATGATCACTATCCAATGTATACATGAATCAAAGCGTCACATTGTACCTCATAAAGATGCACAAGTATTACCTGTCAATCAAAAAATAAAAACAATTAATTTTAAAAATTTACCCCAGAAGGTTTTTTCACTTTGATGCTGAGATTTAAAAATATAAGCAAAAACAAAAAGGAGTAGAACAAAAACCAGGACTGAATAAGCCAGATAAGAGTGTGAGGCTTGGATCCTGGGTCTCCAGCCCTGCTGCTGCTCCCAACTCCTGCTATTCTCTGCCTCCAGAAGAGTCAGCAATACAAAGCTGTGCTATGTACCCCACAGCTGCACTTCCCTGTCACCCCTACTCCAGTATTCCCAATTCAGTAGCTCTATATTGCAATCATCTCTTCATTTAGAAGGAAAAGTATAATTCTTGCCATACAGGTGAATGCTTTAGATGTCCATGGTGCAAATTCATGAATAAGGCAAAGACACTGAATGTGAACCCCATTTTTTTTTCATTTACTATGAAATCCTACTTATCTACTAGGTTTGTTGTGAAGACTAAAAGGAAAAATGTATATAAAACATGCTTGTTACATAGTAAGCACTGAAAAAAATACACAGTTATTAACTATGATGAGTATGACCATGTAAAAAGTGGCTTTGCTTCCTTACACAATCATTTGAGATTGTGAATAATAATTCCTAACCTGCCCATTCATTGTCTTGAGATGAGAAAGAACTTGAAGCAATTTGAGAATGATAAATCACTCAGCAGACTATTACTATCAGTATAATGATGATGATGATAGGCCATTTTCTTTGTGACTCTTGCCTACAATAAGCTTATCCATTAATGTCACATTACCTTTGCTGATGTTTCAAACCATCCTACGAAACCATGCTCCTTGCAGAACTGGTCCATCTTGAGGCCATTGTTCATGAGCACATCCTTTCCCTGGTCACATTTGTTGGCCAATAAAACAACTGAAACTGGTTTGCCATTAGGAAGAGTTAACTTTGAGTCCAAATCATTTTTCCATTTTGCCACTGCTTCAAATGTAGCTGGCCTGGTGACATCAAAGACAATAAATGCACCCATAGCTTCCCGGTAATACACTCTTGTCATGTTTCCAAATCTTTCTTGACCTATAACCAAAAAGAAATAGTAGTTAAAACTTATTACAATTAGAGACTGAATCATATATTAGAAGTTCATGGGCCCTCCAGTATAAGCAGTAAAGAATTTTATTGGTAGTTTTTAAAGAGTGAGTGAAATACCCAATCATGTAGTCTTGCTCTTAACCTTGGAGTATAAAAGGAAATTATTTCACTTAACAAATATTTACTGAGAAAGTACCATGTAGATGTAATGTTCTAAAATGTTCTAATATAGTACCCTACTAGGCACATGTAAGTATTTACATTTAAATTAATTAAAAGAAAATAAAACTTGAAACTCAGTTCCTTAGCAACACTAGCTAGTTACATTTCAAGTATTTAGTTATCACATGACTAGTGGCTGCTGAACTAGATGATGTAATACAAAATACTGGAATTAACACAGAACATGGTATTGGGCAACACTGTTCTGAACACCTAGGATATAATGATTAAAACAGGAAAATTGCTGCAGTCATTTTAGTGAGAAGACAGATGAATAACTAAATTATGTAGCATGTGACGAGGCACCCCAAATCTACCTAGACTAAAGGTAAGAATACAAACTAGCATCCATCATACGTTTATTAACCACCACACATGGTTAGTTACGTAAATAATTATGAAGATACAATTATTATCCCCATTTTATTTATTTAATTTTTTGTGGTGCTGGGATCAAACTCAGGGCTCTGTGTGTGATATGCAAGTGTTATACAACTGAGCTACACCCCTAGCCATTATCTCCATTTTATAAAGTGAGAAAGTTGAGTCTTAGAAAGTCTAAGTAACTTTTTCAAATTAAACAGGTGGTAAGCTTGCAAAATCAGAACACCAACTCCAGATCCTCTAGCCATTTTCTAACACTGAGTACTTTCAGCTACTAAACCATAGTCTTGAACTATCTCTCCTCCAGGTTGCAGCATATTCAATCTTCTCTATCCACGCCAGTCTCTTGTCTACAAGCTCAGAATAAAACAGTAAACTGGAAGGTTTCTACCTTGAGTAGTTTACAATCTATTGGATAAAGAAATCCCTCTGATATTAAAAAATAAATAATTTTTCTTTTATAGAATGATGATTGGTTTTGGAATTAATTGCAATCTGTTGGAATCAATTTTACTCTGATGCTTAACTTTTTAGCTAAGTATTAGCAAGTTTCTTAAACACTCAAAATTAAGCCTTCCTCACCTGCAAAATGTCTAAAACACACGTACCTCAGGTTTTCACGTGGTTGACATGAATCAACATATAAAGCATCCAACATAGTACTTTAAAACTAGTCAAGGTTTGAGTTTTCCTTCCCTTTCATCAGGGTGTTAAAAGTATAATAGAAATATGATAGGTTCTGAAATCAGATTTCCAGACTACAGTTCATGACCAAAAAATTACAAGTATTTCAGTTGAGTAACAAATGTGAACAAAATCATATTACTTGAGCTCTTTTCACTAGATATTGCTGAAGACAAGAACTAATGAAGACTGGGTTCACATTTTCTGAATCCAAAGCCACAAAACTGCATGACCACACAAACCCTTTTTTTTCTGATTTGGAAACTTACTTATGTTAAAATAAAGTTAAGTGTATTACTTTTCTAGGAAAGAAATGCTGAAAGCGGTGAATCTAAGAAAATACAGGTCAACATAACCTCTAAGAATACTTTACACAAATTTTGAGTACAAGGTTTCATGCTGGTGAATTTTAATATAAATTAACAAGTTTTTTAGATTATGTTCCCATTGGCATTCACATTGTGATTAAAGAGGTGAAAGATACCCAGCTACTTACGACAAGGAATGGAGTATACAGTTCCAGTCCTGGGGTACAAGGCTATGTGCTTAAGCACTTATCACTGAACAGAAGAGCTTTTTGTCAGGACTCGCAAATGACTGTTCTAAGATATTTCTCACACAGGTTACATCCCATACTACTTTTTAAAAATTTCCCACAGTCATATAGTCAATGAAGGAAAGGGTAAAACATTCTTCATATGACACACAACTCACAGATGAAATTTCACTTTACCCAAATGAGTTTTAATGTATTTTTTAATGCCTGATGCAAAAGTGATCTCCTTTGATTCTGTTCAGGGTGGGCCATGACATTTCAGGAAACTAGGGGGAAGAAAGCCCTCTGTGATCATTCAGAATTCCAAAGGCTCTAGGTTTTTTAAAGATGTCTTATGATCTCTTTCACAAATCTAATCAGATGAAGGACAAAGTCATGAGTTATTCAATAATCCTGCTTGTCCAGTGGTTTCTCAGGCAGCTCCTGAGAAATATTTTACATTTCAATATACAACAAAGGGTCATTTTAAGACTATGCCAAAAGCATGTAGTCTTATACCTTTATAGAGATTCCAAAAGGAAAATGTATGTTTGTGTGAGAGAAAGTTTTTGAATGTATGTGTGTCAGATCAGAAGCCAAGAGAAGATAGCTTGTTTCTAGAAAGAAAAGACCTTTGTATATGAAGGTCACTGGGCCAGCCCACTTCGAAAGTTTGTATTTTTGGCATTCCAGCCAGGGGTCACATTCAGATCAGAGCATTTGTAGCACTCACATTTTATCCTTCCTTTGTCAGCTGACAGCCCTCTCTGCTACTTCTTATTAAAAGAGTACAAACCATGTGACTCTTAGTGAGTGCCTACTTACAGGCAGATTAGAGACCTGACTGATTTATCCTGGGTAAATTTACTTTTTAAAAAATAACTGTAATTCAAAAACTACCTTTGGCATTAGATTACTCATTCAACATACATTTCCTGAATAACTAATGAGGTCCAGGCTCTGTGCTTTGTGCAAAAAACCTAGGTGTTTTTTTTTTTTCCTTTGGTCTATAAGGAACTTCTAAACTATGGAGAGTAACACTGGATGCCTGCATTGCAATTGATATGATTCACCATATGAGGCCCCATTTTGCTTTGCCTCTAAACATACTCCATAGCAGCATGGATGTGTCTTATGATTCAGCTTCCAGCTTTGACGGATATAAATGACAAAGGAATCAATTAGATCACAAAAGATAATACAATGGCTGCAATAACAATTTGGATGATATCATGGCAAAATAAACTGACTTGAGAGGTCAGAAGATGTGGGTTTTAATTTTAATCACTGTCAGCCTTAAACAAATGTATTTCTCTCCCTGGGACTCAGTTTTCTCATGTGTTAAATGAAGTTGGTGTGGTTGATTTCTAAGACCTCTACTGCTCTCATTCCTTAGATTTAATTGAACTGTGACCCTGTTTTCCAACAGCCTGAAATGGTCCATTTGGTGTTAAAGACTCAGCTAAAAATACACAAAAGCATCAGCCATAATGTGTATTTAATGACATTTTCATTTCAGAATTACTACTCTGTAGATGCTCTAAGTAAGCACAACCAAGTGGCGAATCTTCTAGACAAGCAGAAAACCAACAGCAAGAAGCATAACATATTACCTATTGAACTGAGCATACTCTTTTACCACTCTGACCTAACCAACTAGCTGTGTGACCTCAGATTAGTCACTTCGCTATTATAAGCCCCTTAATAAAGGAGCTAAGTGGGGTACTCAAAAATAAATACATTATGCTCCTGGGAATCACCTGTCTTCCATACACAGGAGTTCAGTTCCCCTTCTTACTCCTCCTAGGCCTCCAGTCTGGTTCACATCATCACCTATACAATCAATAGCAGCCAGAATGGTACCTTTGGCCTTCTTCCAACTCATTCCTCATTCCTTCATGCAGGGTTCTCTAATGGCCTACCAATACTTCTGCTTCAGAAGTGGCTCTTAACTCTCCCCTCTCCTGTCCATCCACATCGCTAGTGCTTCAGTACAGCTCCCATTGCTCCTCACCCTCTCCCAAGATAAATAAATATCAATGTAGTCTTCAGACAGCTGGAATATGGCAGCATTAAAAGCCACCTGATGTATTTGTAGTATGCCTATTGCTAGGCTAGGTAGGTTCTTATTCTGTTGGGTTTGTGTGGGGCCCAGAAATCTGAATTTTTATTCACTCTGATTGACAGCAATGTATGCCCCAGGCTTATGACTTCTCCTTTCACTATAATCCACTTTCGAAAAGTGATTCTTACCATTATTCTGTTCTATTTTAGCTATTCAATCACTCATATCTGATTAAGAAAAAAGACACTTTCATTAACATTATACATAAGATTGTATATCTTCTGGCTCTCACTTTTACAAATATCTCCTGTCACTTTCTTCAAAGTTCTCCATGGCCAAGCCACACTAGAATACTTTTTCTTCTTCCTAAAACACAGCCTACACTGCTGTCTGGTTTTTGGGTTTTGTGGTTGCTTTTCTTGCTAGTTATGTATCCGTTTCTAAATCCTGAATGCCCCTCTCACTTTTACTCGCACTCCTGTTCAGGAAAATCCTTTGTGTCTTAAATTGTACCCAAAATCTCACCGTGTTTGTGCAGCCTTCCCTTTCCTGAAAGCTGAAATCACTCACTCCCTTCATGATCCCTCCACGTTTTCTTTATCTTACACCATGAGCACTTATCATAGTGATATTCAGGCTCCAATCTCTACCGTGGCATTGAAAATCCTGGAGAACAGGTTAGTCATGTTAATGTTGTAAAACTTGAGGGTTATTTCTTCACCTTTTGGATACAGTAAGAACTCAAGATACTATGAAGGAAGTAAACTGAAACTCAGGTTCCGTCTTCTGTAATACATCATCATGTTTTTGTGAACTATTGCTACATAGAATGCATTTGCTCTATATTCAGCTCACATTTTCAATAAATAATCAAATAGATGTCCATTGAAGGAGAAAATTAAGATGACTCTAACAGGATTCATTACATATATATTGCAACAAGTTTCAGACTTTTGTAATCCTTCTCATTCTTAAGAAATAATCTCTCTGAATCAGTTCACTCTACCCCAAGTAATACCTATGTTTTTGGACACATGTTAAACACTGTTTTTCCAAGTAACCTAGGCATGGATTCTGGAACTAACCTTGTATAAC